CTATAGTTTAATATATATATATATAATTCTAAAAACTCAGCAGAAGCTGTCTTGGAAAAGGGAGTGGATTAAACCTCAAGTTTGCGTACACTACTGTGTCCTGTGTTGACCTTTCTTTCTCTTAAATGCATAGCAAAATGTTTTAGTACAACTCCCTTAAATAGAACTGACTTTCTTTTAAAATGTTTCATAATACTAAGAAATAGTGCAATATATCTATCCTTAAATCTTTAAGAAATGAGATTTTTACCGTGAAAGAAATATGCTTTCGTAAAATTATATGTTGTTTATATTAAAATAAATAAAAAAAAATCATTCAGCTCTGCTGTAAAATTTTGCACCATTAAAATTCTTCAAGAGAGGAAAGTTAAGTCATCATTGTTTTCAGTAGTGCACAGAAAGAAGGCGTGTAAAACGATTTCAATTTCTACCAAGCAATCCGATTTGATAACAAAATAATAGCACAGTGAACTACACTAAGTTGATTCTAATTTCTAATCGTCGAATTGGCTTAATGCTTCAGTCACGATCTTTCGCAGTTTAGATCGTTAAGATCAAAGGTGGATGAATGCCATTTGAAGAACAATTATTATAAGTATTTGATGGAAGATGAGATTAAAGCGCGCGCTCTCTCCCTCTGTTATGCTGGAATGCCTAATCACAGGAGTTGACAATAAAGATGCTATTGTTTCTTTTTTTCATTTGAGTTTTTCTGAAATGATAAATACTTTAACGGGAGATCGGAATGGGCAGTTATTTTTGTTATTTTTTAGTAATGAAATTTATTGTTTGCTTAAAACACCCTTCAAACTTAGATAAAATGCAACTGTTACTAGTCTTTAATATTTTTAATGCTTTAAAACTTAACGGTAATTCCTAAAATATATTGTTTCTTTTAAATTCAAACTTTAACTAGTATAAAGAAATGAAGTATAATTGGTAAAGCATAAACAACAAATTGATAAATTAGAAAATTTCGTGTGAATTGCAATATTGAATTTAGTTGCAAACATTAAGGCAGCTACAAATAAAAAAAAAATCATAGCTAGTGTTTTTTTTTTTTTGGGGNGGGGGGGTTAGTATAATAGAATTATATCAATTTTTATACCAATGTTCCTTTTTTTAATTCTAACTACGAAATTGATTCCTTAACTACAAATATTCCGTAACCATCTCCAACAATATTATGTATTTTAGAATCTTTGTCAAAAAAGAATTCAAGAAATGATAGGGTTCTAAAAATTACACTTAAAGACTAATTATTGAGGGGTAAAAAGGCAAAAAAGCTATCAGAATCATAAAAATCATACAATCGAATCAAAATGACTATTATCAAAACCAGCTTGTTAGCCGAATAAATGATATTTCAAATAATCTGTATTCATATTTTCTCTATGATCCAATTCAGTTTCGATTTTATGCTTGTCTCGCTTCTCACTCAGACTAACTGCGATGATAATTCGTCAAACTTTCAACAAAAGTTTTTGATTTTTTCTTCTCATGAATACTGAAATTCTTGAGAATCATTACTACCAAAATAACAATAATTGAGAAACATTTTATCTCCAAAAATATTTTGACTTCTTTATGACATTTATGTAAACGACGCCTAAAGTTTTTTTTTTTTTTTTTTACAATATTCCAAACTGTGTGAAAAAAAACAAAAATGAAATAGGTGTAGATGAAAAAACTTCATAATCGTATTTGTACTATCCTTACGTCAAACATGTTAATATTTTTTATCAGAATGCAGACAAAAGACGTAAATGAATAATTTCTAATGCCAGCAGTTTGAATGTATTGTATCTTGACTCATCAACTATAACGTAACTTGAAGTTTCTAATGCCCGAAAAAACTGTTGAATAGATAAAGAAAGCGTTTGAAATACACGTAAGAAATTGCGTCAAAATAGCATTAAACGTAATCATCACTTAAGTATTAGAAAGAATTTTTATGATTTAACATCATTTAATCTTGTAAACTGACGTCAGAAATGGTCTTATATATTGTCACATATATTTTACTGTATCGAACTTTTTTTTGTGATTTTTGCTTCTCTATTCATAAGTCTATTCTATCCATTCCACAAATACGAATCTATAAGGCATTTTACGTAAGTACATTTGAAGCCTAACCAAATTAAATGTTTTCTATGTTGCAAAAAAAAAAAAAAAAAAAAAATGTAAATTGTTTTCAATACTGTTCATATGCGTATTGAAATAAATAATATTTAAAAGAAAAAAGAATAGTTGAATTAATATTAAATTTGGTGATGTTTTAATTGATATGTTGGGATTGAACAAAAATTATTTTTAAACTAAAAAATGGAAAAAAAAATACTTTAGAAATTAGAGAATAATTTATTTATAACCACAATTATATACTTCATCCATACGTGCCACAGTCTAATGATTTCTCACTACGGACACAAAAGCGTTTTTAGTTTTAAAAAAATTCTTTTAGTTTATATATTGTGTGTGTGTGTTTAATATTTTTAAATTTAATTATTAATCGTTAAAACGAAGTACCATAATAATTAAATAATCCAGAGAAAGTAAAGCGGTAAGATATTACCTGATGATAAAACTTCATTCTTTAAAAATATATTAACACGTTGAATGCCATGGAGGTCATCGGTGACCGACACTGAGTTTGTTCGTAGCGCCACGGGTGTACCGGTGACCGACGAAGCCGGGATTATTTGAAACACATAACTCGAGTAAATTTTTAATGCTTTTAATTTTTTATATTATTATCGTTACTAAAATGGTTTGAAAAATTAATGCAATACATACTGAGAAAATCATTTTGACGAGACGGGCAAGCCATGTAAAATTAGCGTTCTATTCAACGTGTTAATAGGAAATAACAGTCAACATGTTTCAAGTCCTTAAAAACATGTATTCATTTTCAAGACTTGACAGACGTGAATGAGAAGAAACAAAAGTGATTTCTAAAGATAATTGGAAAGTAAGTAAGAAACAAAACTAGAAAAACCGCAGTAGCCAAAAGAGAAAAAAACATGAAAAACAGGTTTGCTCCTCTCGGCCACTGTTTTTCATTTCCCCTTCTCGGCTGCTGCGGTTTTTCACATCACAGTAGCCTAGTTTTTTTTTTCATCTTTATTTTTCTATTTTTGGTTGGTTACTTTTCATTCAAGTCTGGCAAGTTTTGCAAATGGGAGCCTGTTTTTGAGCGCTTGAAACATGTCTACTGTTATTTTTTATTGATATATTTTTGACTATATTATCAAATAAAGTTTTAAATAAAGAAATACCTCATTAATTTTTTTTTTAATTTCATAAATTTTGATTTTTTTATACTAATCTAATTTCAAATTGCTAATAAATGTTTTTTCTTGTAGTTGTAGAATGAAAACTCTGGTGCTGATACTTCTTCTTGGAGTATCTTTAAGTCAAGAATTAAGGTCTGATCCAGCTCCTATTATTTATCCTGGTCAAGTTAATATTGGTTTTGTGTCCAATATTCATGGTCCACCAGAAAATGGCACCGACGGTTGTGGACCTTTGCGACCAGAGGCAGTGCAGAGAGCCATGGCTGCAGTGTGGGCAGCTCATCAAGCAAATTTCAAGAAGGACGATCCTAACGAACTTAATATTGGTATAATCAAATTTAATTAAAACTAATAATACATTATATACACCGAAGAGCCATTACATTATGACCATCCTGCTAATAACATTTAGGACCACCTTTAGCCCTCAAAACTGCTAGCACCCGCCGTGGCATTGATTCCACAAGGTGCTGATAGGTAGTTTGAGGTATCTGGTACCAAGCGCTCACCAACTGGTCCTGCAATTCCCTCACATTGCGAGGGGGTAGCGTGGCAGTACGAATTTGGTTTTCCAAGTAGGACCACAAATGCTCTATTGGATTAAGGTCAGGTGAATTTGGGGCACAAGACATGACTTGAAAGTCACTGGAATGTTCCTCGAAGATTCGACCCTTATGACATGGTGCATTATCCTGTTGGTAAACACCATCTCTCGAAGGTAAAACTGTTGCCACGAATGGGCTAACCTGGTTTGCAACTATGTTCAAGTAGCTTACAGACGTCAGGGATTGTTCTATGAGGATTATGGGTCCTAATGTGCCTCATGAAAACATTGTTCCTGGGCGAGAAACCATGAAACCTGGGTGAGCCCATTGTTATAGATGGAGGGTGGTCATAATGTAATGGCTCTTGTGTATATGTTTGAAAGGTGATTTAAGAATAACAGAAGGCATTTGAAACTTCGTTATTAGAAAACTCTTGTGCGAATCTATATCAAATTTCACAGACTTCAGTTCATTGAAAACAAGTGTAATATTAATATTTTTCTTAAAAAATTTAAGAAATTAAAATATTTTTTTTAATAATTTTGCAAAAAATTTGAAATAAATCAATATAAACTAATTTGAAATTATATTTAAAAAAAAGAACTCTGTGCACTAATAATTACTTTTTTCTAAAAATTAAGTCTACACTCTTATTCCTTTAATTTAAATGACCATATGATAACAATTGAATCTTTATGCTACTTTTTTTATATTTGAAATTGCGCTAAAAGAAAGGGATACAGATAATATAAAGGAACAAAACTATAGTTTATTAAGTTCATACCTGTTTTTAATACTTTATATTTATTTTTCTAAAATACATCTCTGCAACTCAGAATTCATAAAACGTTTAAAAAAGTGCTAAAATTTTTCACGATATAAAAGTTTAGAACTAAAATTTACTCCAAACGTGCAAAAATATTGTACTTGCAATCTAACCGTAATGACGTTAATTCCTTTTATTGCAATTGAACTCAAGTTCAATTGCAATAAAAAATTCCGGATCAAATTACGTTATAAGGTACTGTAACTTCATCCGTGAAATCCCTTTAAACATAAAATCTATTTTACCGTAAATTCCATTTTATCGTAAAATCCATTTTACAATAAAATCTATTCTTACCGAAAAAGGATTTCAGTGATTTTAGGGTGATCACTACTGTAAAATTTTCGATAAATTAGATATTTTGCTCCGCAACATGTTCCGATAAAAATAGATTTTACTGTAAGAATGCCAGTACTTTTTACAGTTTTAATTTTTTACAGTGTAAGATTCCTAAAATATCTCAGTTTTCACATTGTTGTACAGTAGCAGTTGCGTAAGAAAATTTTTTGTTTTATTATAAGTTATGTCATAATATTGGCAACTTTTTTTGAAAACTCACACGGAAAAAATACAAAGTATTAATAGATAGGAAAAATAATTTATTTCATTTTACTTTTTAGGGGTTTATATTTTTGACACCTGCGGAAGAGAAGATGTAGCTGAAAGGCAGGTGTACAGATTGTTAGGCCACGTAGGACATGTGCAGACTGCTGATTGTTCGGAAAAAAGAATACCTCCTCTTTTTGGTGAGTTCGAATTACATAAAACGGAGTAGAAAGTTTTATGTGCGGCGTAATTATAAATATATTGAAGCTGTTCTCAGCACGATTTTATTTCAAAATTCTAGGATTTAAACATTATTAGTACAAAACCATCAAGTAATACTCGATAGTCAGAAGTTCTTCGATTTAAAATTTTATATTCTTATTCTTACCTAGTAATGTAAGTAACTTTAATGGAAAAGTAGAAATATTTAATAACTGATACCATTTTTTTCAGATAATGTAAAGTTAATTCTTAATATTGCTTAAGCGTTTTACATCAATCTTTTTACTGTGCAATGTGCCAAAAAAAAGAAAGCAGGCGGAACACCCTGAATAATTTTTGATTTAATGATCAAATTTTCATGTTTTAGAACTCATGCTTAATTGTTGAGGGGATGACGTCAAATATGATAATTATTTATCGCAGACAATATATTTTTAGTTCGAAAACAGACACAAGAACTTACTTTCTCTGAATAAACATTCCTTTTTTTTCAACGGATTCAAATTTCTGGCCCCTATTTTTCACATTATTTTGAAGTATTGAACATTGAAAAATACAAAATTTGAAAAAATCGTTAGAATAAATCCTGAGATAACGAATTTTAAATGTATGATTTTTTTAGAATTCAATTTCTCAGGAACAATTTAGCCAATTTCTCTGATATTTTTTGTATTTTGCCTAGTAAAATTGGATACTTGTAAATGGCTCAAAAATTATATATCTTAAAAAAAAAATTTTTTTTCCAGCTATTATTAAGTAAAATAATAAAAAATAATAAATGTATACTAAAATTTAGTTTTTGCATGGAATAATTTTTGGATAAATGAGTTTTATAATTGGGTATAGAAAGTTTTAATTCACTTAATTTCTCGAGATATGGCGAAATACGCAAAGAGTAAAATTAACATAAGGGGGTTCAAAACTTTGAACCGCACTCTTGACCAAACTGTTAGGTCCATATTTCCCAGATTGCGGCTACCCCCTGAATTAAGGGATCAGAAGTCCGAATCCGTCGAAAAAAAGTTATGTTTATTGAGAGAAAGTACGCTTTAGTGTCTGATTTTGTATTTTAAAATATCGCCTGCACTAAATAATTAACATATTTCAAGTCACTCCTTCGAACCATTAAGAATGAGTCCCAAAACGTGAAGATCCGATCATAAGATTAAAAGTTATTCAGTGTGTCTCGTTTTCTTGGCGTGCTGTACATTAAAAGACATTAAACATTAATAGAGTTTTATTCCAGAAACTTTCATTTCACTTCTATTCCTTATATTTTCACTCATATATGTTCATTATTTTTTTAAAAAAATTGAAGGACGAACAACTTCTTGTATTAATCAAAAATAATGGCTAAGAAACAAAATGCTATACCGACTGTCACACGTAAATATTTTTCTCGTTATTTCATTCAAAAGTATACTCGCAGTATCACGTGATTCTCTTCTTATATCTTCTATGTATTATCTTCTATGTATTATGTGACACTGTTGATAGGCAAAATACATAATTTTCTTCCTAAGGAGTTTTAAAGTATTACTTGAAAAGGAATAATCCTTTTAAGCTTGAAACTGTCAGCTGACATTTAATTTGAAATAAATAAAAATACTTAGTCATTATGGGGCAAAATAAAATGTAGAAATATTATAAGAAGCTATTTAGATTCTATATAAAATTTATAAATTTATATAAATACTGTTTTCAACTACGCAGTAAAACATTTTGGTGTATAGTTGGCGAAATCTTTAGGTGTCCAGGTTAACTAAATAAAAAAAAAATTATATAAAATTAACAAAATATCAATTGTTTGAAAGAATTAGCGCAAATATATTACTAAAAATAAAAATTTTCTTAAAAGATGCACTAAATCCTTTAAATTGAGCCAAAAGAGTCCGAAAATCTGCGTGGTCAGTAAGTAAACGAACAATAAATAAATAAAACTATAACAGTGAAAGTCTATAAATAATGCCACTGCATGCACTGTAAAGAGTTTTAGTTTACCTAGACACAAAAAATAGTGGCAACTAAATACCCAACATTCTTTCCACTGTAAGTATTGAATTATTATTAAAATGTTTATACTTCTTAAAACAATTGATTCTGCTTCTATGAATTTAGAACTTTGGCCTATTATCAAATAAAGTTCTTCATCATGGATTAGTGATATTTAAACTGATTAAACTTTGATTTTTGCCACATTTCCTGAGATTTTGGAATAACATTGTTTATGTTGAAATATTTAATTTTATGGATTCAATGAATTATTGCACTGAGAAAATTATTTTCGTAAAATTACCATACTGTATATTAATGACATTTCTGGTAAAAAGAAACAACATAATTCTGGTATTGAAGCCAAAATATACGGTATTTAAATCATTCATTTGATGATTTTTCCCTTCATATGGTAACTGTTTAGCGTAAGTTCTGATTTCACAAAAGTTCTTATTATCACATACTTAGTAAAAAATGCAAGTCTGAAAAGTATATTTAACAGAATAATCCGTTCATTTTCTAAAGATATCATGATAAAACTATCAAATTTCACTACATTAACCGAATATTAGCGGATATTATGAAATCATATTTTATTGCTAATTTTACCAAAATCATTACTAAAGCACTTTGGTAAAAATTACCGAGCTTTTTAGTGTTCCTATAGAGCAAGAAAGACGATAAAATTTACCATATTCTGGTAGCTTTGAGCATACTTTTTTTTTTCCTCAGTGTAGATTAGTGAAATGAAAATTGAATAAAACTAATTTTTGCTGCAAATTCTTGAGATTTTTAGCTAACATTATTTTTATGTTGCAATATTTAATTTTATGGATTTAATGCATTATTGGTCTTGAATTCATATATCGTTATTCTTAATTATGACCACTAAATTCGAAGAAAAGTTGGCTCAACATTGAATCATAATTGTTAACTTAAATTATGATTCATGAAAGCGTTGCTGCAACCTCAATAATAAGGTGGTAAAGGGAATTATGTTTCTATTCAATTTTAATCGCACACAGTGAAAAATTCCTGATCAGTTTTTATGGTAAAGAGTAACATGCACGCTAGGCTCATCACCCGAAAAATCCATTCAACCACAAAATTTTATACAGTAATCTTTCTAGTAATATTTATTTAATTACACTTATTATGTGATTTTATGTAAATGCTACTGTATATAAAAATTACAGAATATCAGATTCTTTGTTCCGTAAAATATTTCAGTGAAAACGGATTTTTACCGCTACGTAATTTAATTCTGAATTCTTTACAGTGTAAGATAGTATAATGACATTTAAGAAGAATTAAATTGTTTGATTATATAGTCATCTCTACATCATATTAAAGTTTCATAAAACTTAAACGATACTAATTAACAAACTCGAACGTTTTTTTTAAAGAGTTTGATAAGGTTAAAAATACTTTTTCAGGAAATGATTTCCAAAAATTATTAATATAGCAGGTAATTATATTTAAAATTTAACTTTGAATCTTCAATAAAATTAAATATACTAGACCAAATAATTAAATAAAAAGCTATCAAATTATACAAAAATTAGTTAAATTGCTCAGTGTACTGCTTAAAGACTCTGTCAAGTTTTTGAAAAAAATATCAGATATATAAGCCACATAGTTAAAAAAACATTGGATGAAATAACCGGCACTCAAGGTGCTTGTACTTTTTTTTGTAAAATTTATTTTTACCAGATCATGTTACAGAAAAAAAAGTCTAATATACTATAAATTTTACAGTAATTATTACCGCAAAATCTCTGAACCACTCTAATTAAAAAAACTTTACCGTAAAAATAATGGTATAATATTTTAACAAAATAACGATAGAAATGAATTTTATGGAAAGATGGATTTTAAGAATGTTGCACCAAAGTGGCGGTACTTTATACCGTAATATTATGCAGGCAGGATTTCAAAGTTTTCTTGAATCAGGCTCATTATTATTTATATTGATTTAGCTGATTGCATTTTGAACAATACAAAACGGGAATTAAAGTATACATTTTGAACCACGTTGACAAAATAATAAATACAATTAGTAGAGTATACTTACATAAGAAATGATATATCGATAAATTTGCTGTTTTTTGAATAAAAACATTTAAATATTAATTCCTAAAAATAAATAAATGTTAATTTCTTATTGTTTATTCACTTTCAGCTGTGGTTTCTGAAGGTGCATCAAATTATCTGGAAGTACCACTTAAGTTGTTAAATGCATTTTCTGTACCAGTCATATCTTCATCTGGTCCTCCATTGCCAGAACAATTATTAAGCACTGCGCCGAATACTGAAGCACTGGCTAGGGTAAATGAAATTATAAAAGTTTGTTTTATATAATAAATGAAATCAAAAATAAAATTATAAATGTTGTTCAATTTATAGTTTCTCTAAATGTTCATATTAATGCACTGCTTGTTTAAATGTTTATTTAAATGTTAAGTACTGTTAATTTAAATGTTTATTTGAATAATTATGTTAATGTAAGGTTTACTTGATTGTTTAAAAATTCATTTTAGTGTAATGTTTAATTTAGTGTTTATGTTATGATATTGAAATCGGGAAGTTATTTTCGTTCTTTTCATTCTTGTATATAAATAAATACTAATACTAAAATAATTGATCACATTTAGTTTGAACAAATATTAAATTAAATGATCATTTTCTATTTAATTAATATGCTTTTGCAAAAGCTAACAGCTTAGCCACCACAATTAACGCATAATAGCTAATACTCAGTTAATTAATATGCTGTTGCAAACTTGTACGGCTTAACCACCACAACAAGTGTATTATAAATATCTGAAAAAAAGTGTTATGACGTAAGATGCTCTCTTCATACTTTCATAGATGTAAAATCTAATTACAAGTATGCCCCACATAGATTATTTTGCTTATATATTTTTTATATTGGTTTCACAAAAATAATTACTCGATTAACTTATTGAAAATAATAGTGCATGGCAGAAAAATTCGTTTAACTGGTATTTTTCTGCTCGTTATGGTAATGGTTTGCCATAAATTATAAGGTAAACAAATGTTTACATCATTTCAGAAAACGTAAGTTCATAGGACAAAATCCAAACTTTTAAAAAAAAATCGGTCTAAAAGTTCCCGGGAAGTCGATGAAAAATTTGATTTCTCAGAAACAATTCAACCGATTTTGTTCAAATTTTATATTTTGCCTAGAAAAAAATACATTACTTAAAGTAATGTAAACTTTTCATACCTTACAATTTAAAATTTAGCACTATTATTAAAAATAACAATTAGAATTTATTTCTTGCATGAAATTTTCTTTGGATAAACGAATTGTATAATGGTGTGCAGAAATTTTTTAAATTCACTTAAAAAATTTATACTGAATACTCAAAATGACTGGATAATGACTGAATAAATGATATGACTGAATACGCAAAAAGTAAAATTTACATTAAGGGGTCTAAACTTTGGACTATAATTCCCAGATTGCAGTGACCCCCTTATATTTTGAAAATAAAGAATCCAAATTTGCAGAGTAAAAGATATGTTTATTCAGAGATTTCGTGGTTACGTTATTTTGGATGATTTCGTAATTTGAAATATCGTGGACTTTCATCAGCATATTTGAGGTTGCCAATGTAAACCATTAAGATTTAGTCTTAGTACGTGAACATTTGATCATCAGATTTTAATTTCATCATAAGCACAAATAATAAACCAATGTGAAATCAAAATTTACTATGTTAAACACGACAAACTCTCTCTTTGTTCTACAAACTTTCTAATTTTAACTATTTCGATGTTAACAGGCTGCGGTCAACGTCCTCAGACAGCTTCGATTATTGGAAGTAGCTGTCATGGCTGAAGATGACGCCCCAACAGGATTGTTTGGTGATTTTTCTCGTCAAGCTCAAGTGTCTGGGATGGACCCCATATCTGTAGACCAACCAGACGAATCAAATCATAGTGAAGAGGATTTTTTGACTACTCTGAAAATGTTAGCTACAAGTGGAAAGGTAAATAAGGAAAAAAAATTAAGTTAAATTGGACTTATATGAATTCTTTGAAATATCTTATTTAGAAATCCAACTATAAATTGTTTTCAAAGTTTAAAGTTGGTCATTTTTCAGTACGAAATGTAAATGCTAAGTCTTAAAAATTGGGGAATTCACAAAATGTCCTGTGAATGCCGTTTGTTCTATAATAGACCTACCAAACGCACACTAGATACCAATTACTTCCTCTTTAACTCCATATGTAGAAACAATCGATTTTTTAATTTGTAAGTTTTTACTATTTATAATTAAATTTTTTTTCATTCATCTCCTCTTTCAATCAACAAATGGGAACTGATGTTTTTATGCATAGTTGAAGACCTAGTGCCAAAAATACTTGAAGTTGTAGCGAATAGTACGCTACATTATTTGAAGTTCGATTTAAAAAAATTGTTCTCGCATGATTTTAACTACCATAAGATTAGCATGAATCATAAACAAATGAAATGTGTATTTAAGACATTTATCTACTCGTCTATTGAAATATTTAAGTGATGACAAATTGAACAAATTTTGTTTAATTTCATTATTCACTGACGCTTTTAACATTTGGGGGCTACGTTGGTGTCCATAATTTTATGCTTTTTGAATTCCAATGCTTCAGTTTTTACTGATTCCGTTTTCTGTTTTATTTACTCATTCCGAGTTGTTCTGTGATGTTTCTCATCGCCTTTGTTTTTCCTTGTGAACTGAAGATGATGTCGTTCCAATGCATCATTGAAACTTATATGCTATACTGTAACATATTATTTGTGAGTTTTAATGTTGTGCTTTATCTTTTATTATCATTGCTAAAAATTTTTCATTCTTCGTAATATTAAATATTTGTATCTGATATTCATTAAAATGAATATTCGGTGTTTATATGCATAATATGCATTAATTATGAATATTCAGTAATCTATGCATATTAAAAGACGTGAGCGCATGTCCTCACTGCATCATCGCAGAGCCAAAACTACTGAAGCAAGAAACATGAAATTTGGACAATGGGTTCCTTTTATGACGTAGAAACCCACTAAGGACGTTTAAGTATTCTTCCCCTAAGAGGTTAAGTAGGGGTTGAAAGGTTGTAATCTGCAATAATAAAATGATGAGTTTCTGTCTGTATGTCTCTCTTATAAAAACAAAACTATATGCGTTAACGTCTTGAAATTATAACAGCTGGTAAAAAGCCCCCAGTCCTAAAATGGAGGAAATTATTTTTTATTGTTATACAATTGATTTAATTTTTGATTTATAGAATTTTTCAACTGATTCTCAACCACCACTCAGGAACTTCTATCGAAAAATTTGTTTTGGTTGGTTCGGTTTAGAAATTTAGTGATAAGTAAAAAAAAGAGTCTTTTTTTTAAACCCCGATGGAGCGTTATGTATTAAGTAATACAGTCACAGTTATGTATTAAGTAATACATACATATTGATAATAAAGTTGTAATATGGACAGTGATTTGATAATTAGTAAATATTTCTTAATTTTAGATTTTAAATATTTTTATAAATGCATAATTTAAAAAATTGAATAATGCTTCACAATCATTAAGTAAATTTAATTTAATTAAGCATTAAACAACACAACCAGATATATATAATTCATATCTGATAAATTTCAAATCTGTATGTGAAAAAAAATTTGAAAAAAATTATTTGGAAAGAGGTAGAAAATACTTTTGAGAAAGTAAGTATTAAAGTGTGGAAAGTCGTATACAATTTTGCTCAAAACTTTCAAACTAAGTTGAATAAATACACTAATGTTGCATCAAAATGTTCGTATATCAACATAATATTTTTTATATGCATATATTTTTAGAGTTTAAGCTCTTAATTTCCGAATATGGAAAAAAAGTAAAAAAGAAAATTTGAGGGTGAATAATTTTTTGTTGTGTAACAGTTTGGCTTCAGTTCATTAAATTGCGATCTATCAATGAACTATTTATTTAAAATAAGCTCATTAGTAAAATAAAACTACGTGCGAAAAGATGTAATTGTAAACAAAGGAATAGTTAATTAGATTTTGCTATTACTTGTTGGGTAAAACAAAATTACTCATTTCTCAACATATTGCTTGTTTATATTGAGTAAAATTCAAAAATATAAGTATTTATTTTAATTAATTGTTTATGCTGTTGTTAATTTTTATATTGAACTACATCATACTCTTAAATGTCAAGTAAACATATGGAATACTTTCACACACATTAAAATTCACATGTGATTGATTTTTTATATTGATTTGCAGTCCAACATAAAAGCAGTAGTCTTTTTGGTGAAGTCGGATGAAGCTTTAAATCTACTGAACTTAGTGGATGACAAAAGCCTTCCCCAATTACCGTGGTTGATTGTCACTCCCAGTGACATTACTTCCACTATAAAGAAGACATTCAGAAAAGAACAGTTACAAAGACTCCAAAAGGTGAGTTTTTGCTTTCATTATTTTTTTAAAAACTTATTTAACCCAATGAATTTCTTTTTCGAGGTTTCCATCTATAGTAAGTGTTTTTCAGACCATACGGAATATATCGTATTGTACATTTCACTTTGTCCTAATAAAAACGCGAAATATGTATTTTAAATTTACACTATTCAAAATTTTGCAATGTACTAAATCATAACATCATTCAAATTTGCTGAAAACCTTATTGTACAAATTTGAACCACATCATCGTATATATTAAAATTGGTTGTTCATTTATAATTTTATTAGGATAGAAACAAATTTTCCACGTATTATAGTTCAAAATGCTAATATTATGGTTCAACGTTGCATTGGGTTTTTCAGAGAGGTTCCCCAATTTAAAAAAGCATTCAATTTTCAGATTTCAATTTTCCATTTTCCCAATTAAATTACCCAATTTCAGAGAGTTTCCCCCCTTAGTATTAAGACGCGGAACAAATGCTTTGTGACAAATATTGTTCCTCTTCGATTGGTAATTTAAGATTTAAAGCATTGAAAAAAGGTCAGTTCAAATTAACCATGAAGCTTCAATTGCCAAAATGTTTATTTTAAAATGTCAAAATACAAATACTATGTCAGGATTACTTACTTCCTCACTGCGTAATTCTCAGTTATTCTGACATAATTCATTTGCAGTTTGAAATTTTGAAAAAAAAACTTTTTTTCCTTCAAAATTTGAAAGTAGAAAAAAATTTGGTAAAATTTCCGAACTATAGACATTTGTGGTGAGAAAAAACTATAATTCTGGCTAATAAAACCTAAATATACGATATATAAATCATTCATTTAGTAATTTTTTCGCTCATATAATAACGGTTTACCGGAAATTCTGATCTTCATAATTATAATTCGTACTTCCACACAGTTAGAAAAAATACGAAACTGAAAAATAAATTGAATTGAATAAATGGTTTTTTACGCCCCGCTCTAAAGTATCATGATAAAATTACCAAATTTTGTCACATCAACCAAATTTTATAACATATTATAAAATCATATTTTAATGTTAATTTCAACATAATCATTACTAAAGTACTTTGGTGAAAAATATCGAGCCTTTTTGTGTTCTCATAGAGCAAAAAACATGGTAAATTTTACCCTATTCTGGCAGTTTTAACTATATTTTATTCTCAGTGAAGCTTTATTGATTACTCTTAATTTTTCGTAACTCATTTTTTTCTATGCTTTAAATTAATAATGTGAGGGATGTAGTATTTTTTAAAAACGCTTTCTTCTGTGATATAGCGTCCTTTTAACAGTATTTTAAAGGACAAAATTTTGTAAGAGTAAATTTTTAACTGATAATTTTTGCAATTAATTGTATTTGACCTGCGGCCAATTGAAATTGTTTTCCAACTTTTTACCTCTCAATCCTTAACGTTTCGTTCTGAGATTTTAAAACCAAAAAAAACTCGTTTTCTTTTTTTCTTAAATTTTTTAATTTTTTTTTACTCTTTTTAAATGTGGAAAATATTAAAATATCTGACTTTTTCCAGACTCAGCCTCCCGAACAACAAAACTTCAAGATTTAAAATGGAACAAATAAGGAACGCTTTAATCCATTAGTTCTTAGAAAATTAAATTTTATTACAATTGGATTTCAAAAGTGTTACTTTAATGAGATTTATTTATTTATCTTTTTAGCAGAGAACGAAAGCGTGAGCATACGGCGGAAAATTTTCCCGTAATAACATACATGAGGGATTTTTAATTTAATTTCTATTTTTATCTCATTGAAAAGTGAACCTTAATTGAAATTTACTTCTGATACAGCATTGAATGCAATGCTTCAGCGCCTTCACCAAAGCGGAACAGATTAAATTTACTTACTTTTAATTCTTTTACTTTTGTATCTTTGCGTCATTGAATAAAAAAAAATAAATAAAAGTTAATGAATATCAAAAAGTAGACGTGGTATTTGTTTATTGCAACGGAGCAAATTCAAAATAGTTTTTTTCTAATTATTTTCAGTTGCAGTCTCAGAAATGAAGCTTAGACTTTCAATAACATTTTAAGCCTCTTCTAAAAATAATAACTGCTTGCAGCTTTTTTTTTGTAAGAGAAAGTAAGAAATCACAAATTTTGATTAATTTCGTGATTTCTTTTTTATTGAAAATACAATTCAGCTATTTCTAGGAAACAATTTTTTTTCTTCCTGAAAATACTAAAAATTTATGAAGTGGAATCATTTTAGTGTATCTGAAGTATTTTTGCAATTATATAACAAAAAGTATGATAAGTGTAAACTAATATAAAAAAAATAGAATCCTAAGTTTTTTAGTTTATTTTAATATTATCTGATTCGTTGATATAAAGATAGACGGCTCACCAAATATTTTAAAAAAGACGACTGTTAGATTTTGGTGTATTAAAAAATATGCCTACTTTAAGTTTAAGGTTTGAGAGAAGAAGATTCTGATTGACATTTTTTAAAAATAATTTAGTTCTATTTAACTAAACAGCTCTAATTTATATTGTCAGGTCTTGATATTTTGCAGATTTTTGTGGATGTCGGTTTTCTAGTTATTTGACTTTTTTGAGAGTGGAAGAAGGTTTCGAGTGCACTTGGCAACAAATTGACAAAGTATCTTAGAAATCACTTTTTTTGTAAAAACATATTGAAATGAATGAATTATACATTTTAAATTAATGTTAGGGACTTTTATTGTTACAAGTGTTATGGATTTATAGTGTTATGAGTGCTATGGTTTATACCATTCAAGATAAGATGACAATGAGTTGAGATTTCAGCGGTCAGGGAAAACCTGAATACTCATTAGACTCTGATTTGCAGTTAAAATATGGTCAGTTTAACTTATTTGTAGGCTCTCAAAAATTACTTTGTACTATAAATTAACTTTAGAGTTACAATAATCAATATGTGTCGTCGATAAATAAACTTTGGCGATAATATCGTGATAATTTATGCTTTTGGAGATCAGGAAAAGATTACAATTTGTGTTTTCCTCCTGCCAAGGATCTAGTTATAATTTGAACATTCTAAATAGCTCAAACTTGGTCGAAATTTTGACTAACTGTAATTTCCCCTTGATAATATAACAATAAATTCCTCTTTCAGCTGTCAGGAAATGATTGAAACTTGCATTTTTATCAGATACAAATTCCTAGAGAGATTTAAGTCCTATAGTCAGTTAAAAAGTGGTTAAAATTTCAATTACAAAATTAAATAGTCATAAAAATAAAAGATTATCAAAAATGAAGGATATATAGTTTAATACTTGTATATTATATGCATCAATGCAGTATTCAAATTAGGAAAACGAGAATAAACAAAATATGACGTATTATTACAGAGATAAATCATACAGAAGTCAAAACATTCGGGAAATAATAATTCGTTGATTAAGAAAGAGAAGGATGATTTTAACCCTCCATTCTCTTTACTGTAACATAATTTTGTAATGATTCATCAACTTTTGATTATGTTTTAGTTTTTCCGTCACTTAAATATTAATACGATTCTTTCCTCGTGCGCGGAAAAGAAATCTCGTAAAATTACAGTACTCTATGGTACTGACATTTCTGGTAAAAACAAACAAACCATAATTCCGGTTAATAAATCCAAGATATATGTTATATTATATGCCATTTAAAAAATTTATTTGAAATTTTTTCCTTTCTTATGGTAACGGCTTACCGGAAATTCTTGTTTTTTTAAATTATACTTCTTACAACGCATTTAGTTAAAAATGAAAAAAGAAATCATCATAAAATTTCCCAGTTTTACCACATTTACCATGTTTTATAACATTATATAAAACCATATTTTATTGCTAATTTTATCAAAATCAGTACTAAAGTACTTCGGTAAAAATTGCCTAGCTTCTTGGTGCTCTTGTTGACCCAGAAACCCGGTAAATTTTGCCATATTCCGATAGCTTTGACCATACTTTTCTTTCTTTGTTCTTAGAGGCTTCTGAAAACTTACATTAGAATGGTCTTCTCAATATGCATAAATTTAACACTTTTATGTACAATATACACACTAAATATTTAAAACAGTGTTGTATGGATATGAAAATATATCTTGATGATTTTATCAAAAAGAAATTATCCACGAAACACATTTTGTGTTTTCTTTTTTAGGTTTTGTTGCTGTCTCCACAATCAACGGATATTCCAGAATTCGATGAATATTTTCAACAACTGCTGGATGAAGATACCATAAAATATCATCCATTGCTGATTGAGTTCATGCAGCTCGTTAACAAAACTCATGCAGCTGAAAATGGTAACTATAGATAGAATATAAGAGTAGCTCAGCTACAAAATTTAATAAGTTATTTTCTCCTTTAAGTCTTTTGATATAGACTTATAGTCAAGCTCTGTAACCGTAAAATAATAATTTATGTTTGATCTTTTTTTCTAAATGCAGGAAGTGGAAATAAGTTTGGTTGCAAAAGTTATTGTTATTTTAAAGTAGTGTAAAAACAAAAAGAGGCGGGTTGGCTCCTAAGGAGCTTTGCAATTGAGTAATGTATCTGGGATTTCTGTTTCTGACTTAATATATAGGCAATGTTACAGCCAGGCAAGAACTTAGGTTTCTTTTAAGTAAAAAGGAATTTTGTTCGAGACATCGTATATGTTCGTTTACTTTTTCGTTATTTACAGGAATTGAAAATAAGTTTTGTTATTTTCAATTGAAACAGAAAAAAAAGGATTGCTGAGTTTTGCTTCTGAAATATTATGTGAGATTTCCTTTGCAGACTTAACAGATATATTAGGGGGACTGAAAAGTAATGTCGTTTCAGAGCATTAAATATTCGTTAATCTTAAAAACCAATTCATTTTTTTCGATTTATTTTTGCTCTGGCATAGAAGGTATGTTGCTTACGAAAGTGAATACATTATTGATTTAAAATAAGCTTGATAACAAATATCAAATGCACCGAAACGACACTACTTTCCGGTCCCCCTAATACATTAATACATTGTTAGAAATATACAAGTTGTGTTTTGCTACTTTCTGTGTTAATTAAAGAAAAGAAAAGAACATCTGATATATATATATATATATATATATATATATATATATATATATATATATATATATATATATATATATATATATATATATATATATATATATATATATATATATATATATATATATATATATATATATATATATATATATATATATATATATATATATATATATATATATATATATATATATATATATATATATATATATATATATATATATATATATATATATATATATATATATATATATATATATATATATATATATATATATATATATATATATATATATATATATATATATATATATATATATATATATATATATATATATATATATATATATATATATATATATATATATATATATATATATATATATATATATATATATATATATATATATATATATATATATATATATATATATATATATATATATATATATATATATATATATATATATATATATATATATATATATATATATATATATATATATATATATATATATATATATATATATATATATATATATATATATATATATATATATATATATATATATATATATATATATATATATATATATATATATATATATATATATATATATATATATATATATATATATATATATATATATATATATATATATATATATATATATATATATATATATATATATATATATATATATATATATATATATATATATATATATATATATATATATATATATATATATATATATATATATATATATATATATATATATATATATATATATATATATATATATATATATATATATATATATATATATATATATATATATATATATATATATATATATATATATATATATATATATATATATATATATATATATATATATATATATATATATATATATATATATATATATATATATATATATATATATATATATATATATATATATATATATATATATATATATATATATATATATATATATATATATATATATATATATATATATATATATATATATATATATATATATATATATATATATATATATATATATATATATATATATATATATATATATATATATATATATATATATATATATATATATATATATATATATATATATATATATATATATATATATATATATATATATATATATATATATATATATATATATATATATATATATATATATATATATATATATATATATATATATATATATATATATATATATATATATATATATATATATATATATATATATATATATATATATATATATATATATATATATATATATATATATATATATATATATATATATATATATATATATATATATATATATATATATATATATATATATATATATATATATATATATATATATATATATATATATATATATATATATATATATATATATATATATATATATATATATATATATATATATATATATATATATATATATATATATATATATATATATATATATATATATATATATATATATATATATATATATATANATATATATATATATATACATAAGGCTTCAATGGCACTTATCGTGTTTACCCTTGAAGTCATATGCTTGTCATTCATTTCATTAGTAATTTGTGTGTGGTATTATATTTTTACGACTAATTTTTTTTACAGTGCCAAGAAAAAAATCTTTAAATTTGAATAACTTTATCAAAAAACTTCTTTCAATTGATACTGTATATTTTGAAATCATTTTGTGCAATATTTGTTCATCATCGTATCGTGTTTCAAACCAAAATTTAAAAAAACAAATAAATTAATTTTCTATGAGACACAAATAAATTAATTAACAATAAACTAATTAAATTAATTAACTATACAAATAAATTAATTAACATCGAGGATATCTTAAAATACATATAATTAAATAAGTGTTCGAATTAATACATCACTAAATTTTTATGAAACTTGGTAGTAAGATATTTTGTACATAGGCTAGTATGGCTGACTCACACGAAAATAAGGTTTTTAAAATTAAAAATAGAAGTTCGTTTTTCAAGCTTCCTAAGTATTGAAGTCATAAATATTGATCCTATTTTAATTTTTGCAGAAAATATCTCTATGTATGTTTTTTATTATAATGTGACAGAACTTAAATAGAGAAACTGAATTTTAACTCATACTACAGTGCCGAAATAAAAATCTTTTCACTTATAGTTGTATTAACAGTATCAATATTTATGTTAATTCTGACACTGTGTATTTCTGAATTATTTGTGATAAACTCGTTCTTTACGCTATTTTTATTTATTTATTTAATTTATGTGGTCAAAAGTAAAATTGAAGAATTTTTCGAAGTTTTCGAGCAATCAAAATTTTATATTATAATTAAATTTTGTTATAATTTAGAATGGTTTGGCGATTTCTAAAATGTTATGCAAATTTCATGAATATTTCTTATTATCCTCTTGATGCTAGCCATCTACAATATTTCATTAAATAATCATTAAATTAATACAACATTAATTATTTTATACTAAAGCTATGAAATTACTATTGATCTTTAATTTATTTTCTCCTTGAATTTCAGACGACCAACTTCTTACCAATTTTTATTCCACATCGGACGATTCTATGGGCAACACCAGTTGGAGCAACCCGATGAATGAACAAAAGGAACATAAACTATTTGTTCCAGCTGATGTATCTTCAACTGTAAAAGCTGTTTGGACTCTGGCTGCTGCCCTAAAGACTGTTCAGAAACGCTCTTGCCGAAGAGGTACAGATTGCCTTCTTTACTTGAGAAGAACCTTAAGTGCTTATGTTGCTCGAGCAGCTTTCAATCTGGATCACGTGGTGCAACTTGATACAGAGAGCCTTAAAGGGACCAGGCTGAAGTTTGAAGCTTCTGGAACCCTAGCCTCTGTGCATTATGCCCTCAGAGGATTCGCAAACTATGGAGAAGTCATTGATGTAAGTACCACATGTTTTTAATCAGTGATCGTGGTTTGTAAGTATAATTTTAATATCATTTTCGCTTTTGATAAGCTTATGACAAATAAAATCAGCACTGCTGCAAAACGCAGTATGCTAACTAATATATGGGTGATTCTCACGAAATATGATTCACTGTCCCTTGCTCCAAGATCTAATACTATAATATTAAAAGAACTTTTTTTTTAAAAAAAATAATAAATTGCATTGTTGTTGGCATTTTAAAATGACTTTGTACTAGCATTGAATGTTTTGTATAGTTATGTTTCCGATAATAACTAGCTTCAAAACTTCTCATAAATTTTTCAGTTTCGAATTTTTTTTTTATCTCAACCGGTGTAAACATTTCTAGAATAAACGCAGAGAGAATTATTTACAAAAACTTCGTTTAAAATAATTTTTTCTGTCAATAATTTGCTTGTCCCAAGAAAATCTGTCATTTTCGTGGCTACTTTTATTTAGTGGTTTATAAACAAGTTTTAAATGACAAAATTGGCAAATTTTTGGCAATTTGTCCAGTTTTTGTGTTGTCATTTTCCTGGCTTCTTGAAATCATTAATAACACAAACTACATAGATTTATCTGAGTTATTTTAAGAAATCCTATTGTTTTCTGCAGAATGCAAGCGTCTTAGGCCAAAATATTAAATTAAAGTAAAGTTATATGCTATAAAATAGCGAATTTGTCATTATCCTGGCTTATGAATTCCAGTGGCTTATGAATTCCATTGAAGTGTTACCAAAAAATTTTTTTAACTGCTAATACTGTAAGGAGGAAAAGCAAATATTAACCTAATACCAAGTTTATGTAAGATTGTAATATGGTTGGATGTAATCAAAGTTATTTATTTATTTAATGATTGATTTATATACACATTTTTATTCTGTGCATATCAGCAACAAAAAAAAATTCATTCTTTCTACAGTGGATAAAAAGAATTAATTCAGGCAACTTATGGTCCATCTAACATAAAGGCTTAAGTTGAATTACTTTCTATTAACTTAAAATGACTGTTTTTTAAACTTCTAAGCTAATATGTCGTTTTCCTGGCATTCAAGATTTGGTGAATTTCGATTTTTTTTTCTCGAGAAAATGTCAATAAACTACACTGCTGTCTGTAAGATATTAATAAGTGTAACTAAAGAAGTATACAAAAAAAATTTTAGGTTATTTTTAAGACTTCAAATTTGAAGAAATTTTTTGGTCCGAATTGTCATGTTTAAGAAGAATCACCCATATATTCTTTTGAACTGCTAAGAACATAAAACTATAGGTGCCCAGTGAAGTCATCTCTATACATTTTTAACTATCGATCAAAGAACCTACCATTAAGCTTTTCATTTGTGAGGTTTTTCTGTAAGTCACTTTATCATTTTTAGGTTGGATACTACAGTGACGAAGATGGCTTAACAGTTGATCACAATGTTCTGATGCCTTTCAAAGATTTCGTATTCATAAAGCCACTTTCCACATCTGAATCTTCGGAGTCAGACAATAGATCCGAAACATCGATGAAATCGGATGATATCACCTTTTTCGATTCAATCATGAAACTTAACTCTACCGAACTCTTACCCCAGGATATAACTACTTTGCAGCCTGAGCAAGATCTGGCAAAATGGGACATTTTAGATTCCAGCGCAGAGGAGGCAGCTAAAAAAGTTTGTTGTGTTTCATTTACTAATTTCAAAATTTTTGATATGTAGCGTACTTATCTTGTTTAAAATATATTTTTATATGTAGCCGTTGCTAAATTTACAGAACTTTTTTTTTCTACAAGGTTAAACTTAAAATGCTTTTTCTCATTTGATTCTGAAACGCTTTAGAATATCTCTAGGGCTTTTATTTATGAATACTGCAGTGGAAGAACGGTTTATGTTCATAAAAGCAGTTCGGAGAAAAAATGATTTTGCGTCTGTGAAAAAAAAAAGTTTTTTTTTTCCCACAGCACAGCTCGTCTTCAATGTGTAATAACTCTCGGGAAAAATAAATTTCTAATTTTATTGATTTGTCAAAACGAAATAGTTCTCATAATGCAATAGAAGGTGATCCAATCATTATTTTTTAGAAGAATAAACTTAAACTGTTCTTCCTCTTGATCTTAGCATACGTTTGTAAATATTCCTTCTTTTTTTTATTGTTAGGTATTATTTTTCTAAAATTATATTTTGAGTACCGAAAATTGATTTTAATTTTTATTTGCCTTATAATCTGATTGCTTCATCTAATTAAATTCCATTAAACTATGATTTTCAGCAAAATATCGTCATTTATAGTAGCTGACTGTATCAAAAGATATTAGCTTTTGAAAGAAAGATTAAGCTCAAGAAACATAATGTCCCAGACTTCCATCTTGGCAGAAAATCTTCTATATAACTTTTTTACTGCTTCTTAAATGGATCAATTTCGTTGGCCATGAATTAATTTTATGAAAAACATAAAAAATCTCTTTAAGGTTTTTCTGTCTAAGAATAGGCAATCCCAAGTCAATTTCTGCTGATGATTTGTTGATTCTAAAACCACACATAGTCCGTATTAACCACAATGTTGACATATAAATGTCCAGAGTTCACACAGATCATAGATCATAGGTACCGTTTTTATAGGGCGAACCATGAGAGGTTTTCTTTGATACTTCTCACCGTGTTTTGCAGAAATTGAAGCTTGGTTTGTTCTCATATTTTTCTCAAAAGTTTCCTTTATTTAGACAGCTGTATCGTTAAAAAGCAATATGGAATTCATTGCTTAATGACCTTGTGGTCAATAAGATTGTATTTGTTAAAAAAATAAGACATGGTTAAAATTTCAAAGACATAAAGTTGTATAGTGTAAACAAAAATTCCTTTATCTGAATAGATTGAACCATGAGAGGTTTTCTTTGATACTTCTCACCGTGTTTTGCAGGAATTGAAACCCGATTTGTTCTCATCTTTTACTCAAAAGTTTCCTTTTTTTTAGACAGCTGTATCGTTAAAAAACAATGTAGAATCCATTGCTTAATGAAATTGTGTTCAATGAGCTTGTATTTGTAAAAAAAATGACATGGTTAAAATTTAAAAGGCATAAAGATGTATAGTCTAAACAAAAATTCCTTTATCTGAATAAGTTGCTCGCTAACGGTGATAAAAGTAAAAAAGGCTGTTCAAACTTCTCTAAGCATAAAGTATCTGTTTATTAACTGCAGAAAGTTTTAAGTTTTAAAACTTTTTGCCTAAAAATGTCTTAAAAAATTTATAAAAATCTTCTATACGCTCAAAATGTTTTATTTAACGCTTTTTGCATTTATAGAAATATTTCAACGAACGCATATTTTTTTCATTTTCTTAAAATGAAGTTGAATAATATGTAACTCGAGTTTGAATTTGAGGAATTTCACTCGTTAATTAGCTATAGTTTATGGTATGTGCACGAAATCTTTTGCATACCATATAAAATTGTACATATTGTTCCAGAGTTTCAGAATAACACATATTTCCTTATTTAATAAATGTTATGATCTTATTTAACCATGTAAATTAGCCTAAGGGTGATTATCAGAAGAAAAAAACATCTTAACTTCTTGTTTTCAAACCTCCAAAGTTATGAATGTCAACATTTAGAATAGAAATCAAATTTGTATCCGATACTGAACCAAAATATATTACTCTTGAATTAACTAATAGGAATTTTAATGTATCGAAATCAAACTAGATTATTGATTCTTATACTTAACTAATCCTTCTAGAATAAACGAAGGAAAATATCAAAAGCAACTACAACTGCACTGGATACAGATACCGATCTTGTGATTGCATTAAATGATGATGAAGGTCTTCAAGTTCTCACCCATGACATCAATAGTACTCTTAAAAATGAAGGTGGTGTGGAAAAGAATTTGATTGTTGGTCCCGCATATAGCGGTCCTTCTGTTGATTCATCTTCCTCTAACTTTCGTTCCATCTCACTTACAAGTCACGAGGAACCGAAAAATAATGATGCTTATAGAGCAGGTGAGAGATCGTAATCAAGTGTTTTTATTTACATTAATATTATCGTTTATTTATATTATAATAATATTTTACTTATATTATCTTACTTTACAATTCTTAAGCATCATGTTTACCATCCTTAATAAATATTTTTAATTTTTTATTATTTTTCTTTCCAATTTTAAGTTTAAATTCTATTTTTTTAAAAGAATATTGAAAACAATATCGAATTTTAAAGAATATCGAATCACAAAGTCCTCCATGTTTCCATAACAAATTAAACCTCTGGGGGTACTGGACTGGAGACAGATCGTTCTCTGGTTCAGGTCAAACTACGATGTGGGGATGAATGAATGGATATGTGAATGGGTCCGCCTTATAAATGGGCAGGACGTATGAGTGTGGCAGGGGTCGAATTCTTGACCATAGATGGCGCCACTGGAAAACAAGAGCATTCCCAGCCCCATTGTCTTAATGGCCTACGTCAACAACAAAAATTGAATATAGACAAAAACGAGTTTAATAGGTGTGTGTCTGCATTTTATAATAGCTTTAAAATGTGACTTAAATGAAAAAAATGAAAGAAATTAAAAAATATTAATTATCGTATATTTCAGATAAATGAGAAAAAAATCAATTACAGGGGTTGAGGTTGAAATAAAAAAGAAACAGACTGATGATTTGTTTTAAAAAGTAAAATTTTTCTACAAATTAGGTTTCTATGCTAGATTGTCTGAATTTTCTTTTTAATTGATCCAATCATATCTGAGTTTTGTGACTGATTTTGGAACTTAATCGAAATAATTATAGGAAGAAAATAAAAGTACATTGTTAATAATTTTTACAGCATTGAAACTTCTTTTTAAAAAAGGTGACATTTAAAGTAATAAGAAATCCAAAGATAGAAAAAAATACAATAATATTTGAATGATATAATTTCTATTTTTCTAGGATCTTGAGTTTTCGGCAGATTAGAAACATGAAGAGATTTAAAATCCTTCTGTCCTAAATCGAAAGCCTATTAATCTTGGTTGGATTTATAAGGGTTACCGCTCATCAAACATCAAATTTGAAATTGTATGAAAATTCTGTAAATTTTGCGAAATATTTATAACTAGCCACTTTTGACGACCCTTTTGGTGACCTTTCAAAATTACACATATAAACAACCTATAAACTTTAATGGTGTCCAAACCAAATGCTCATCATTTTAGTATTTAAATATTCTAATTCTTACACCTTAATTAGTATTAAACAGTACTCGTATATTAACCAAATATTTTCGCCGCCTAGCTGTTGCCCGCACGGAAGTACTCTGATTTCAATTTCATGAGATGTTAGCGATATCGTTAAAGCTCTTAATGTATCGAATTTTAGCAATTATTTCAAATCTGTCCGGCAGTCATTGAATCACACAAAACACCATAAGTAGGAGCTTGGAATATTTCAGCATAGTTGACAGCAGAAATATTAAAAGTATTTCCATCTCTGTCATGAGATAAGATAGAAAACTCATCTCAGTGATCTATTACGTGCTGTACTACTTCCTTACGTACCTCTTGAACCATAACTCTAGTATCCTATAATATAATCAATAATGAGCATTCTGTAGCGAACTGCAATGGCACTTCCAATACCAGCTATAATCACTCTTTCCAATTTACGTATAATATTATTATCAAAATTAAATAATTGCAAAAAATCTATAAAATGGATTAAAATAATCTTTTAATTTCTTACAGAACCTGCTTCTCGTTCTGACCGCAGAATAGATGATTCGCCCTCAGTTTCTCCCACATCATCTGAAGACGTCAAGCGAGTAAAAGCAAGCAGCACTCGTCATATTTCTGCCTGGTTAGCTCGCCCCTGGGCTCTATCCGTTCTTGGAGTTTGTGGATTCCTAATCCTTGCCACCCTTTACATATTGGTCTTTCTTATGGTCAAAGCATGTGAAGGCTCTTTGAAGAAGACCAATTGCTGTTTAGCAGGAACGCAGCTTGTGGCTCTGTTGTGCCTGTACCTAGCAGCAGCTTTGTTCACATGGAAGCCTTCACCATTGATTTGTGGCCTTCGAAGATTGATGCCAAATGTTAGTTTAGCTTTCTGTTACGGATGTCTCCTATTGAAAGGTTTGACTTTCTGTGATACTTTCCAAATTTAAAGTTATTGTTAAATACATATAATAATGCTTTTTTTAAAAAAAAGAAAGAAAGAGAATGAATCATAATATCAAAATTGATATTTATTTCTTAATGATTTGTTTAATTTTTATTAACTAGAAAAGCTCTGTTCTTCAGTGATTGCTCACTAAGCCCCACGATAACTTTGTTACTTGTAATAAAGATTGTTTCCTGCCGAAAAGTATAAATTAATTTCAAAAATAAATAAAAATTTCATCAAAATATACCAAAAATGTTGCTGCTGCATAGCGTCCTTTTATTGAGACATATCCTTCTGAACCCCTAAAAAAAAAACAAAAAATGGTACCCCACATGTTTCATTATTAGTATTTATTCTGGAAAATCAAAGTAGTTCTGCCTATCGCTATATATCAATAACCTAAATATTTATATTTAGATCAAAATTCAAATCGTAGTGCTTTTAAAAAACTGAAATGGTACCTAAGTAACAAAACGAAGCATCCACTTGGTATAAACTAACATGAATTACCACTTTTTTTGTCTTGGTGCTTGCGAAGGCCACTTTCCGGGATCAAGCATTAATGGGTTAAGTTCCAGGACAGGCATTCAAGCATTAATTTCACATACCCCAGTTAAACCAAATTTATTAAAAATAAAACTGCTAGTTCTGGCTGTAAATATTGTGTAATTATAAACTAAGACTTATTGATAGTTAAGACCTCTTAATTTTTCTCGGGGATTGAAGTTCTTAATGAAATAAAAACTTCAATCCCTTAGAGAAGATAGAGCCATTAAAAAATATATACCTAACAAATTTTTAATGCCACTGATTCTTTAAATAAGACAATTTTTAAGGGGATTAAATATTTTGTAAACTGCTTCCTGGTATATCTACATCTATTATAATGCTGAATTTTCTAGTGTTTATTAAAATACCATTTATCATTTTTTAGCTCGTCAATACGTCTTTTTTTAATTTTATATTCCATACGTGATTTTTTTTTCAGGAATGTATCTGAGGGCACAGAACAGCCTCGGACTCGGAGGAAGCGTTAATCGATGCAATCAAATCTTGACTCTCATCTTCGTCGTTGGTGTGCAAATAGCACTCGAAGTTCAGTGGTGGCTGGTCCACCCTCCTGCTCTGTCAACGGAGGCCTTTGAGTGCCTCATTGGAAAAACCGAAATTTTGCAATCGCAAGTTTACATTGCGTTCCTTCTTCTGCTTGCAACAGCCATGTCAATATCAAACAGAAGGTACATTCCCTAATCTTTCATTTTCTTTTTGACACATTTTATAGAAAAAAATTTTGAAACAGTTTTAAACATTTGAATTCTTTTTAAGCCTTTTGTGTAAGCCCTCTTTTTTACTATGTATATCAACAACCTTATATTGTAGAACAGTTCAAATTGCAAACGTTTCTAATCTTTCTCGTGTGGCTTATATATTTTTTTAAAATTTATAATATTTTGATTAAAATCTGGCAACATCTGTGTTTTTTAAATTTTTTACTTTATTTTATTTATTTTATTTCTTGTTACTTTTGACATCAATTCAAGCACGATCTTGCAAGAGGAAATTCCCGTGAGAGATATAAATTTATTGACAACAATGGATAAATAATCATTATTTCGAGCAAAACGAGAGAGAAAAAAATTCATGAAAGAAGCATTTAAATTTGCAAAAACGTTCAAACAGATTACAATTATGAAAAAGAAAATTCGCGATAAGTTTATATTTTAAAATAGCTCTTTCAGCATGTCTAATTTCAATTCCATAGTTGTATTTAAGCAGACAATCGATGCTTCAACCTAGTTTTTTTTCTCATATTCCAAGTATAACAGTTGATATTTCTCTAACTAATAATTGAATCTTATATATTTTTTTATTCCATCAAATTCAATGTGTTTTTTTCTTCGTATTTTCGTAATTTCAAATTTATAAATCTGATAGAGTTGTGCAAATAAAAACGAAATGTTACGTTACGCAAAAAAAGGTGAAAAAACCACGAAAAAGCTTTTAGAACTGTAACTTTCAAACACATTAAATTTCCACATGAAAAAGAAAAGAGTTCGTGTTAAGTTTAAAAACCAACATGGTTCTTTCAGAGTGTCAAATTTCAGCTCTAAAGCTGCATTCCTTTGGCAAATGACATGGTGTTTTTTCTACTTGTTTAACAGTTTAGAACTCTCAAACTAATAATTGAATGTTAATCTATCTTATTATATAAAACGCTAATACGTACGTATGTATGTATGTATCAATAAAACCGATGATATCTCTTTTCTCGCGCTGGCAACAGTTTTCATTTTTAATTGATTAGATTCGGCGCTCAAGAGCACGTAGTGAGCAACCAGATAACAATAACCAGAGTGAGCATTATCAGGTTGTTCAATTCAGATTCATGCACTAAAAACATGACAATATTTAATTTAAACTCAATTAGGAATTAATTAATTAATTGAAGTGAGAATGCTTTAAAAGGCCGCTGTTGAATTGATATTTTTCTACTGGGAGCTACCTAAACGTCTAAAAAACGTTTAAGTGTTTGTATTGAATGCATTGAATTTTTTTATATTTCGCGTTTATTTATGCATTGAATTTTCACGCTTTAAAATGCAGAATATTAGTGAAGCAATATTTGATAATTTATTTTGCTAATATGTTTCTTATTTAGCTAATGTTTTGATTTTTTCACCATGTACAATCTAAATAGCTAATATACTTTTTTAAAAGCCAATAAGAACATTGGCAGAATTCTTCTACATAAGTACAATACTATGTCTTTGATGATAAAATACTATGTCTCTGATGATAATATATTATGTCTTTGTGCTAGAACATTGTGCTCATTAGCGAGCCATGGTTCACGGCGTGAACCACATAGGATTGCGTAGCAATTCTTGGGGGTTGGCGAGCGTTAGCGAGCAGGGGGCGGATCCTCCTAGTATTTTTTATTTCATTATACTCCATGTATATTTTCTATACACTTTGGCAATTTCCAGTTCTTAAGTTTTATAGTTTTTGGATACTATAAGACAATTAAACACCCAAAACGGCGTCACCGGCCGTTACGTTATTTTAATATCAGAGATATTCATTTCTTGAAATCCAATGTTTTAAATAGGATTTTTCAAGAAGTATGAAACTATAGAATAATCGAATTTTGATCCGATTTGAAATTGTGATTGGCTTCATTGCAACTTGGAAGCATTCTGGCTTGTCGAGTTTTTTAAGAAGCCTTTTGTGTAAATCAGGTATCCAAAAAACCTTATGTCTATGAGTGTTTGAAGGATCAATCTTATATTTTTCTTGCTTGGTAATAACAAATTCATCTGAACCAATGTGTATAGTTCGTTCACCAGGAGTTGGCACTTGACTCCACCTCCTCGGACGAAGAGTTCATTTGAACGCCGGGGAGTAAGAGGATAAATGTCTCTTCTCCTGAAATTGAGATAACCCTTAATGCACGTCAAACGCAAACAGTGAAATCTTTTTCAGTCGCTTACTTCGCTTTATCATCTGCTATAATAGCTTTCGTTACTCTAGCTAATTAAATATATTGCAGCAAAATGCCTCAGAAAGAACAAACTATTCACTCAAAAGAGAGAAACATCATCTAATTTATGAAATATTTAATGTTAAAAAAATGCACATAAAGATAGCGAAATAAATATTTCTCTCAAACGATCACCAAATAGCAACCTTGTTCAGGATTGTTCACATCCTTCTCCCAAAAAGAGCGAAATAGTATCATCTGATACCATGTGATGAAGACGGAGCCAAGTGCCAACTCCTGGTGAACGAACTTCTATCCATTTTATTTGCAAGTAGTTGAAACTCACTGCATTCAAAGCACCTGGACAACACACATGTTTGGTAAAATTTTACCACATTTTCTTTACCTTCCCCATATTGTTTCAACCTAATGGAGCTGATGATGATTTTTAAACAATATTGACGATTTTGAAAATTGTTATATGAATACTAAGTACTACAGAAACTTTAAAATGCTTATGTTATATCAAATTGAAAAATTTTATGAGATGATTTTCTCTATACTGATACTTTATTACACTAATATTTTTCATTAACAAAAATATTATTTTTACAGAATTCCTTACAACCAACAAGAAAGTAGGAGTCTTATAGCTACTTCTTTATCCTGTTTGGTGATATTCCTGTCTTGGGCCATTGCTTGCTGGCTTTTACCAGATTCAGGAAGCCGAAATATTGCTGCGCCCTCTACACTGATGGCAACAGCTTTAACAGTTCTCCTGGGAATTTTCGGTCCACAACTCTTTGCTATCCATAAGTACGGAGGTTTCCCTCATAAACCCCTTTCCTATGCAGATTCATTGTCAACAGTTTTCACCATGTTCAAAGACCTTGATAATGCTTCGAGTGGAGGTACGACTGCGAGAGGTAGGAAAAATGCTAAGACATTAGAAACCCCATTTGCTGGCGAAATGAGCGAAGGTACCCGGAACCCTCTTTACAACGATTACCAATCGGCTTATCCTTAAATTTCAATTGAAGACGCCTTGGCGATAATAGATTTACAATGGAAGAATGTGATGTTTTATTCCAGCCATTACTGATAATGACTAAAATTCAGTGCCCTCTGCTATATATTTATTCCAAAATGCTGCTGAATCGTGGTGTTGTTTCTCCGAATTCGTAAAAGAATAGGGTATACATTTCTTGGGGATGTTAATAATAAAATATTTTCTTCGTATCAACTTCAACTCCTGCATTATCGTCAAGAAATCTCCAAGAAAACGTTTATTTGTAACTGAGGAATGTTGGCCTATCATTATTTGACTTAAAATGAACTGAAATAATTAATATTGCCTTTTTGAATCTGAGAAGTTCATGAAAAGGGAGTAAAAATGCGTCGGTACGAAATTATTTATCATTGCATGAAGTGACATGGATTTAATGCTTAGACAGAATACTAAAAATTCAAATGATTATTATTATTTATTTTCTTTAAACGTTTTTTTTGCGAAAATTACTTTATGATGTTTTGTTTAATAGAGGTAAACAATTAAATGAAAAAATGTAAATCAAAAAATTACTAACTCTCGTAAAAACTCATCAGAAGGAACAAATTACACATTTAATGGAACTTGCAAAAAAATCCTTTACCTTTATTTCGTCTTCTAAAGGATCTATTTAAGGAAAATACATTCTGAGAAAACAAAAACTTATTTTACTCAGATACATGAATAGAAAAGCATAGGTGCATTAATTATGTTTCTAGAAGTAAAATAAATTTGAATTCATACCTAATATTATCGTTTTAGGTTAGGTGTATAAGAACTTATTATTTGATCTTCCACTTCAAGAGAATATCATGCAATTTTATAAAAAAGTAATAAAATCATAAATTTTCGAAAATATTTTCGCACGTACGTGATTTTGACCTATAAATAGAGGTTGTTATAGACATTAACAAAAGAAATATATCTAAAGAAATGTATGCAAATGGCATATCCCGAAAATTTATTGTTATTTTTGTATGATTTGGAAATTGCTTAGTTATCTTAATCCTATGCAAAGTGCTTTTTATGAAAGCAAATATTCATGCAGTATCAATTATCTCCTTCTTATGCAAAGTGCTTTTCATGAAAACAAATAATTCATAAAGTTTAAGATATTATTAGTTCTCATATATTTCTCTGAGGCGAAAAGAAGTTGATACTGGGATATCGAATAATTATCTAAAAAAAAAATCACGTGATCTTATTGTTGTGCGTTCTCTTTTGGGGAATAACTCTTCTATCTTTTGTTTTGGGAAAGAAAATGATCGAAGTTTATGTTAAAGTGCTAACTATTTATGATAAAAATGCTACTTTTTATGAGAAAAACTGTTTAGTATTATAAGTCTTTCAATATTTCAAATGGCTGCTAAGACTTAAGTTCAATACATAGTATATTGAAAACTATTAGCATCAGGTGTGTTAACCTGATATCGTGTGTCTCAGCAAACTCTTCATCTCAAAACAACTCTGAGGTAACTAGGACTGTGAAATCAAGGTTATTGTGTAGTGATAAATAAACCCTGAATTGATGGCCTTCATCCACTTGCTCAAAACTTCAGATCGTAATGGTTACTAATTTGTGCCTTATTTTATATCGTTAATAATTTACACTAAGGCAAGCTACACACGGGGGAGGCAAGCATTAACTAAGAGACATACAAGAGGCAGATTCCCATGCTTTTGCATAAGCATGTGTACATTACCTCTGCGCATTCTAACGCAAAATTATTGGAATTCGCAACCTGTATGCTATCTTACACATGACCTCCTCAGTGTGTGGCCTGCCTTTAAGACTACATTGTCTTTTTTTCTTTTTAAAAAATTTGAAGTGCATTATATGAAGCAGGATTTGTGCGCAATATGTTTAAAAAAAAATGGCTGTTCATGTTTTTGTTTACGTCTGAAACGTTCGAATTATGTTGATGTTTTCTTTTGCACCAGATTTTGTTTGTCGTCGTTCATCCTTGTTAAGTATTTCACTGTCGCAAATGACATTTATTTATATTTTAATTAACTGTGTTAGAATTTTTAAACCTCACACGAAATTTTAACTGCATTTATTATTTTCTTTTTGTCGTTTTTAACTGCAAATCACTTGTTCTAAATTTTGCAATTTTTTCCATTACTCTTCATGGGTTGATATTAAGTCCATAGCTATTTTTAACTTTACAATTCGCTATTTTTAGATTACTGTAAAACATGTACAATTGGGAAATTAAATGTTTGCTTGCAAGTTTTTTTTCTTTTGGTTTTGGCAAATCTCATATCGAGATAAAATATATTTTTTATGGGGCTATTGGACTTTCTATATCAAGTTAACCCTAGGTAAGTTAGATAAAAAGTGTGACGATTTTAAAACTCATCCTCCCACTCTTAGCTCATAATTTATAAATGAAAACATACATATTTTTATAATGTCTTTATTTAATATTAATTAATTAAAATTAATTAAGAGACATTTTATTATATTTTTCCTTTGAAATATGCAAAATGGAGAAAATAAATTATTGCCGTTTTTGAAAGTGTGATTTTTTTATATAGTGTTTAAAACTATCAATAATCGATTGTGTATTAATCGACTATTTAAATATCTAGGGTCAACTATACTATACCTAAACTTATTAATAGTTACTGCGAAGCTAGTAAGAAAATTATTTTCACTCTGTAGTTATAGCTGTTTTTAGTGAATCAAATGTTGAAAAATAACGCAGACAACATGATATTTTTGATATCATTTTGTACATATTTCTGTAATAATGTTGCATTTATTATTTATTTATAATCTGTAATACGGTTTGTGAATGAATTCCTTTCACAATCGTTATTCTGAATGTTTTATTGTATTTGTTTGCATGCTTTTAAATTAGTTAATTCAATTAGTTTTTCTTGCAAACAAAAGAGTTAATGTTTTTCACAAAATAAAAAAAAATCTTCCTTTTTGTGGAAAATTTTAAAAAACTATGCTTGAACTAGTGATTAAAGAACACCATGCAAGATTAAAATCAGGTTGTTAAAATTGATCCGGTAACATTCTTTAAAGAAGTGATATTTGTGAGATATGGAGTTGAACAGTTGGTCCTCAGAAACGGTTTGTTATCTTCTACCGAAAATAAGGTTCTGAAATTGTGCTTGGCGATAATTTATTTGTGGCATTTATACAAATACTTGATATTGCTTTATTCGGATTAAGTAGAGATTTCAAATTTGAGATTGGTTTTGCTCCTAAAGCTACAGACTTGTTTTTAAAATGGAAGTTTTAGTCTATTTTTTGTTGAACTATACAAGTTTAAAAATGTTATATTTAGCAATAATGTCGTGTAAATGTTGCAACAAACATTGAGGGAAGTTAGGCGTCTAGAGGTGCTTCTCTATTATGACCTGTTCAGAAGCGCACGAAGAAACAGCTCATAATAGAGAAGCGGACCTAGTTTATAACGACATTTCCGGGTATAGGTTTTTTTGCAATTTTTATTATAATGATGTGCCCTAACTCCCCTTGAAATTTTTTGCAATATTTATGTCACCCCCTGTCATATATAACGTTTGTAAACTTGCACATTTCGGCAAAAAAAAGACTAAAATGTCATTTAAAACGAAAAAGAAAACAGAAGCTCGAAAAGAGAAACTGATTGCAGATTTGAAATTAGTGTTTCGAAAGTATCTAAGATTTGTTAAAAAAAATCTCATGCAACAAAATAATTAAGCAAAAAGTAAAATATAATAAAAAATAAAATAAATTGTTTTCCAATGTAATTAATTACATTATAAATGAACAATTTTCGCTTCTTCTGTCTTTATTAATCAATAATTTAAATCCTGAATTGACATATTTTAAAGCATGCGAGGATAATAAAAATATTGTATTTTTGTTGTAGTTTTTTAAAGAAGTGTGTTTGGTATATGTCTTTTAAATTAAAGCATTTTTCATCAGTCACTGGTATGTTTTTAATTTGTATATTTACTGAACTCTTTTCCGTATATTTGCTAAACTTGCAAGCAGACAGCTTAATAAAGCTTTTTACAATTTACAAGCTTTCGTATATTTACAGTTAAAATACATTTTACAAAAATTTCATAATTATTACATTAAGTACGGGTTACCAATATGTCTATATACGCGCTCTTAACTTTCAAAACTATAAGTATGATAGGGGTGTCTAGGTGTAGCAAAGAGGCTATGTGCTACAAGATGAGACTGCTTACAACGCCTTGGAAAAAAAAATGCACAGTTACCGGTTTTGTTTTAAAAATTATACAATATGGGAGAAGATAAAAAAAGATTTACAAAGTTGTAATACACCATCGATTTGATACAAGCAGCTATTTTGAGATATTAATAAAAATAAAGTTTAAAATGCACATTTCCTTTATTTAAGATTATGACATGGCGAAATTATTCTCTATGCTTTTGATAAACTTCTAGGGAGCCTTGTACAGTGCGAAAAATGAAAAAGATATCATCCTGAATAACTTTCGTTCTATAGATCGAATTTTCGCGCATTAAGAGTCAATCTTAATGATTCCTGGGGTTAAATTCAAATATGCTATTTAATTAGAGATAACTGATTAACTAAATTACAAAATCAGACTCAAAAACGCCCTTTCTCTGAATAAACATATATATTTCTTCCGCTTATTTGGATTCTCGACCCTCAAATTAAGAGAGGTAGGAAAAGTTCGAAAAGATTGGATCGTAAATTGGGGGGCTAGGAAGCTATATCTCTGATTCAAAACCAAAACGACACTTCTGCACTCACTTCTCATGTTATTTGAATGAGAAGTGAGTGCAGAAGTGTTGTTTTAGTTTTGAACTAATGATATATATTTGGTGATAGTCCCCAAAACAACCAAGCAATGTTGCCACTACAAACGAGTAATTTAACACATCCATAGAGAATAAACTTAATCACGAGAGCAAAACATAATTTTACTCCGTTGCTAGGCAACAAGGTTCAAACAACAAAAAATAATGAAATAACGTATTGTGATTGCACGGAGAGGTTTAGTTATTAATAGTTAATAGAAGAATATCTTGAAGTTTCTAGGTAATAGACTTTTTAGAGCTGATTTCCGATCAAAAAGCAAAGATTACTTTCTTTTTAAAAAATACTTTTTTCTTTGAAAAAATAAATTGTATCAATTTATAAATTAGTTATAGTTTTCCAAGGTTTTAGAATTTGAGCACATGAACTTATAATCTGATTTTGTGTTTTTTTACGTTGTTTTTACTTCATTTATCTGTGGATCTCATACTAAAATCAAATTTACTTAACTTATTATAATAATATACAAAACTTTGAGAATAATAATTTTTACAGCTTTGGTCGAGTCTTCTAGGCAAAAAAAGTTTGTTTAAAAAAGTGTCTAAAAAATGTAAAGGGTATGGTAATTCTAATACGCATTCACAATTTTATATAATTCACAATATTTTTTTTATAACTGAAGAAATAGGCGAAAAATAGGCTGCTTTTAAACAAAGTTCGTAAGGTCCTTAAAATACTGAAATGGTGGCAACAAAACTAAGGATATAAAAAGTTTTTTTTTTTTTTTTTCCCGTTTACATTCATTGTAATGAATGTTTCTAGTAATGAAATTTAGCGATTCACGGATTACCCCCACCCCCAAAAAGAAATACATAAATTTTTTACAATAAATATGTTTTGAAACAATCTTTTTAAATTTTTATTTATTTATTTATTTCAGAAAACTTGTTAAAAGATTCGAAATAAATACTGTGGAATTTTTTAAAAGGAAAATGCTTTAATTACGATATTTACAATAATTTTGGAAGCCTAATGAAAATTCGAACTACAACATATCTAATCAAAATATACAAGTATTGTAGAGTTGAGTTGTAGGCTGCTGATACTTCAACATTAGTAATGAAATTTAGCAATTCACGGATTATATTAACCACACCCCCAGAAAGAAATATATAAAAATTTTACAATAAATATGTTTTGAAACAATCTTTTTAAATTTTTATTTATTTATTTATTTCAAAAAACTCATACCCACACATTGAGATATCTTATCTTTCTTACTCAAAAATGAAAGAAAGCGTTTTAAAATCGAGTAGCTAATTTCTGCCATAATTGTACCAGCCATAGTTTTAGGAAAGAATTAACAGATTGAAGAAGTTGAATCTCCTTAAAGCAACAGCTTCCATGCTGATTTCTGCTTCAATACTTTTCGTTAGGAATATTTTGAACATTGAAACTTTACATAACTTACAATCCATTGATGTAAATAAATTTTTTTGACCAAAAATTTTTTTATAAATTTAATTTTATAAAACAAATGTTTATCTTTTCTCAAAAATAAACAAATAAAAATAAAATGTAGAAAATTAGTAAGTTTTGCTAAGAAGTTCATAAATAAAAATTGATCTTTCAGAACGTCGAATTTTTACTAGGTAGTTGCATTTCAGCGGGCTACAGATTAACCAAACGGCCTGTAGTGCGGAATGTAAGATATTTCTTACGTCAAGTTTAACAGTTAATAATCCTCGAACTAATTGTCGAATGTTAGTTTTTTTTATTACATTGTACTCCTTGTACATTTTCTGCACACCTGCAATAATAATTCTGAAATAATATTTAGTTTCTAACTCTTATTGTTTTTACGCAGCTAGATGTTAAGTTAAGCAGCCAAAACAGTTACAGCGAGAAAAAAAAATAGAATCCTAGAAACCAAGTTAAATTTGTGATACTTTATCTAAGAAAATTGGTAATTGATTTTATTATGACTTCATCGTTTAATATTGATGGCTGAAACTAAGACTCCTATACTATCTATATCCTATACTATACTCTAGCTAAAACCATGTACTGTTTGGTTTTGTTCAATTAAAATATATTTTCTTTCATTTAGGTAACAAAAAAATAAAACTGTTTAAAAAATCCTTTAACACAAAATCAAATTTTTTAACGAAATCAGTCATTTCAGATTATAATCAATTTAAAATAATTAAGCAGAATATCACGAGGTTTTATTTAATTTTATCTAATAAAAAATTCTGAACGAAGTGGGTTTGCAACTTTCTGTGATATTTAATTCATTTGATTGATTTGAGATTAATATACACATTTTTTCTGGGAGGTAGTATTATGATTATCATAGAAAAATCAACTAATTTAAAGAGCAATGACCTTACTATATATCATATTACGATGCCTTTTTTTTCGCGTGAAGCAGTTATATTAATTCTTTATTAGTTCTTAAGTTATATTACAGCCTTAAATGGCAAGTAAATAAGAATATTTACTTGTAATTCAGGTGAAATTTTTGCCAAAATTGATTTGAATGAACACTTGTATATAGGGTTTACTTTCTTTTCTTCCAACTTACATATTAATGTTTTCAAGTTTACAATGAAAAATATCATAATAAAATTTTGAAATCAGTATATCAAAGATATTATCTTCATCAAGTTGAGAAAATTTTTGAGGTTTTTAATTTTTTCCTTTATAAATTTTAGTTAAATAAGCGTTTCTTGAGCGTAATTTAATCTAAGCACCAAAAAACTAAAATGTGTGTTCAATAACTTCTTCTAAATCTATTGCTTTCTAACTTTTTCAATGCACAGTTCCCAGTTTGACACTTCCTCAAAAGGATCACTTAAATCTGTTAAAATCTGAATCTCGCTTTTCAGACTCTGGATACTTATTCCCTGTCTTACTGCATCAGACTCAAATTCATTTTTCTTATTCTCTATCTCCTTGCCATATATGCCATTTAAACTTTTCACAGAATTCTCTTCCATTGAGTTTATGTCCTTGCAAGCACGTCTTTGGCACCCTCTAGTACTGATGACAGGCGATCGATACACTGGTGACTGGAAGATGCTTTTATTAGACTCTTTACTTGTCTGCTCAGAGTCTGAGGAACATGAATTGAATTGGGAGAAACAAGTATAATCAGAAGCTGTGAGATGGTGGCCAAACGCTGATGACCAAAGTCGATCTTCCTTAGAACTTCTGAGAGCCATTTCTTTCTTGCTGAAAGTATGGCTATTATAGAGAACGGACGGCTCAGAAAATTTCTCACTTTCTCTTTTGGCAGTATTTTCTTCAATTACTGGAGACAATCCACGGAAAATAGATGGCATGGTTCTGCTTTCAATTTCCGGACTAGCAAATGGCGTCGAAGAATAAGGATATGTAAAAGAGTCTTCACGTGTATTTGAATCATTAGCCTTACTAATCTTTTGTAAACACTTGTCTTGTGTTTTATTCCCTTTATTTTCTTTACCTTTGGCAACTGTTTTTCGTTTTTTCCCCACTCTTGGTATTTTGAAACTATCCTCTTTTGATTTATTGATGCGTGTCTTGTTAATTGTTTCTCCAGTTTTTGAAAAGTTTTCGGATATGGCACCCAGTGAATCAATTAAGTAGGAACCACTTTTTGACTTTTTGACATTTTCAGTACTTTCATGTTCTTTAGGTAATTCCTTAGAGGCGAAATCTGTAATGATATCTGAGCTTTCCCATGCATTTCTAAAATCATTAATTATATCCAACTTTTCTTCTTTACTTATTGAAGCAGATGCATTTTTCGAATAGCTGTTTTTGGAAAACCGATCACTTTTTTTTACCTTGTCGAATGCTTTATTTTTCACTGCTTTATTTCCATTGTTCCTGTTTCTCTTTTCTTTATCATCAACAGTGACATTGAAATTTTTGGCTATTTTATGATCAGCAACTTTTGTATTGGTCTTTACTTTTTTCGTTTCTAGTCTTTGTAAGCTTTGTCTGCCGTCAATGTATTTGATGCATAAGTCGTCCAAGGCAATTTTAAGAGACTGCATTGCTTCACTGCAAGAATGGCTTTTTGGAATCGAAATGCACACTGGAAAAGCTTGAGAGACATGCGATCGGTTCCGTTCCAAACTTTTATATTTTGAAGAACTATCTAAATTCAAATTACCTCCATACATTCCCGATGATATATCGTCAATTTCACACTCATTCAATTTGTTTCCTATTTTAATAATTTCTTCTTGAAAGGCTTTTTTGCAGCTTTGTCT